ATAAGTGTATTTATAGAAATATACAACCAAGTGCTTTTTTATTAAGTTTAAAATTTTCAAATGGAGCATTCAATGTGGGAAGTTAGAGTACATAAAAATGAACAAAAAGTATGAATAAATAAAGAATGAAGAAACAGTACAGCCAAAAGCAAGATGACATGACTATTAGGCTGAAAGGGGTAGCACCAAGATACAAGCCCTAACATTGCCTCTTTAAGGGAGATGGGTAAATAGTGAAAAACAAAAGGAAAAACAGATTTGGAAAAGTAAAACTCAGATATTTAGCAAAAAATAGACAGGAGACCTGAAATGATAGATTAAATCAATGATAACTTGAAACACTTGAAAAATCTCACAAGCAGCAGGGCGTTGGTGGCCCAGCACTTGGGATGCAGAGGCAGGCAGATCCCTGTGAGTTTGAGGCCAGCCTGGTCTCCAGAGCGAGTGCCAGGATGGTCTCCAAAGCTACACAGAGAAACCCTGTCTCAAAGAACAAAAAACAACAAAAAAAATGAAAATCTCACAAGCTATATGATTTTAGAAAAAAAAAGGTTTTATGACAAAACTAACCTATAAAAGGAAAAAATGTTTTTAGAATCTGGTGTTTTCTGAATATATTATTCAGGATTTCAAGAAAGAAGTAATATATGTTTAACCTATTTGCTGTTTTATATTATCTAGAAATGCTATATATGCTATTATATATATTACAAATAAATAAGTCACAATCAACCCAATTTATGAGAAAGACACATCCTGCAGGGAATTCAGAGAAGAAGATCCCACAATTTACCTGGGTTTATTTCACAATTAATTCAAAGCCTCCAAACAAACAAGGTGTGCTATGAAACATAATTCCTCATAGAGATTTCTGAGAGACTAGAACTATATTATTAATTATAAAGAATAGCTAGTGTAGGCATGTTGGTGCATGCCTGCCATAGCAGCACAAGGGAGGTAGAGGCAGGGGAGGCAAGGGTTCAGGGTCATCCTTGGCCTTTATAGATCCAAGGCCACCCTGGGCTATATGAGATAGTATTTCAAGAATAAAGTAGTTTATCTCAATACAAAGTGTAAAATAATAAAACTAACACTATAATATTGTTCTTTGCAATTTAGGTAAGATGATGTAAAGTGATGAGAAAGAGTCATTCTTGCCAGCTGCAACATCATCAGACATAGTAAGCCCAATGAAGAGGGAAATTATACAGTGAACCAGTAAAATTAATTTGTAAAACTTAGTATAATCTCTAAATACAGCAACAGAAAATAAGTAAGATAAAGTATATCTCAAATATGGGTAAAACACAAAAATAACTGTGCTGAAACCAAAAGTTTCCTGATGGACATGCAATAATTGATTAAGGAGGCTGAGAGACAGCTTGGTGGTTACAAGTATTATAGTAGACATCTGAGTTCTGTTACCAGTACCTTCATGGTTGTTCACAACTGTCTGAAACTCCAGTTCCAGGGGATCTAATGCCCTCTTCTGGCAACAGTGGGCACTGCATGCACATACATGCAGGCAACACACACACACACACACACACACACACACACACACACACACACACAATCTTCAAAAAAGAATTGAATAAATCATGAAAATATGCAGTTTTACAAAGATGTCTGTTCACCCAATAGTTTTATATGATAGTAATTTTAAAACTTCTAAAATGTTAATTAACACTGATATGAAACAATCCAAGATAATTTTTTTTGGTTTCTCTCTCTCTCTCTCTCTCTCTCTCTCTCTCTCTCTCTCTCTCTCTCTCTCTCTCTGTATGTGTGTGTTCTATATGCACATATATGTGTGGGTATACTGATCATGTATATGGAGGCTAGGTTTTTTGTCAGCTTGATAGCAATCCGCCTGTCTCTACCTCCGGAGTAATGGGATTAAAGGCATACACCACCAATGCCAGGCAATCCAAGATAAATTTTAGAAAGGTATGAAAATACCTTGGATAAAAGTTATGATAAACATGCCAGGTGGTGGTGGCTCATGCCTTTGATCCCAGCACTCGGGAGGCAGAGACAGGTGGATTGCTGTGAGTTCGAGGCCAGCCTGGTCTCCAGAGCGAGTTCCAGGACAGCCTCCAAAGCCACAGAGAAACCCTGTCTCAAATAACCAAAAAAAAGTTACGATAAAATATACTACATTAACAATTATTAAAGTACTAGTAAAAGTTTATATAAATGGTTCCAAATGTATAATTAAGTATAAGGAGAGATACCATTCCCCGTAAGAGGGGTCTGAGCATTCATCATAGTGTATTTATATTATTTTTTAACTGCTTAAAAACTATAAGTCTAGTTGAAATAATACATCAAAAATATATTCAGGAGGAAAGAAAAAGTTAAATGATTCAACAAAGAACCAACTAATTGGAAGAAAATATGGCAAAATAGTATTTAATCTCAAGAATGGGAGAGGCCTGCACAAACTTAAAGTTCTCAAGTTCTGACAGTCCAGCAAGCATTGGACAAGTCCTTTAGAAGAAAATGAACAATTTGTTGTTGAATAAAAGGCTTGGTTGATTCAGGAAAGCCTCCCTTTATGCCACATGTTTGCCAATAATGATTTTTAAATATTGTCTATTCAGATAAAACCTACAGTAAGGAGAAGTAGCAGCTCATAGGAGGGATATACAAACTTTATATAAAACTCAGGGTATAGATGAAAGCTAAAATAGAAAGCCAGTGCCACAGGATTTATGTAGAACTAACACTTTTGTTTTATTGTGTGTTGTACTATGTTTCTTACAAATAAATATGTATGAATTTTGGAATCAGGGAATAACAGGACCTTCCTCAGTAGGTTGAAACACAATGCTTGAGATAGGAAATACTGATAACCCACAACAGTATTCAAGTGATATATTGTAGATCACCTTAAAAATCTCAGCGAAAAGGTACTGAGTGCAGGACTGCAGCTGGCCAAGTCACATACAGAAACAAAAAAACAAGTGTGGTCTCTCAGCAACAGTTAAATCAAACTATTCAAATTACCCACTTCCCCTACAATTTTTAATGTCTAAATTAATGTATGATTGCTGTGTTTTCTGTATGTAATGTGTGTGGTGACAAAATGCTAAAATGTATGAAAAGAAAAAATGTAGAACAAGTTAAATGGAAAATTCAGTAATAATATTATCATTTATATCTATAAAAGTTCAAAACTGGAAGTTCAATAACCTATAGGACCTCCGGAGAAATGGAGTGGAGAGGCTTGATTCAGCATGTCTCACTTTTGAGAATTACGTATTTTGAGCATCTGAAACTTAAGCTATTTTTTATTTTTAAACTCATAATTAGAATTAAATATAAATAAAAGTGAAAGGTATGGGAGAAACACACCCTGAAGTGTATAAAAAGCCCGAGTTTATTATCATGGAGATAATAAAATGTTAGCTTCCATGCTGCTAAGAGAAAGCAAGACCCCCATCACTCATGTTGGCAAATGCTTGCCTTTACATAAGCCATTTCTGTCCTCACTGTTATAAAACCAATGGCTCTGGAAAGAGAAGAAAACACAAAATGAAGTGTGAAGTCATACAGCCCATGTTGTTGCAGCTGGATGGAGAATATGTCACTAATGACTTTTCTTTCTACCCATCAGTTATGTTGAGATTCCTTTTTTCCAAAATAGCAAATGGCCTTTATGAGTACAAAACAGAAGCAGTAAAATTCAAAATAATATTCCATTTCCACTTGATTTTGACACTCTATTAGTTAATGGAATGAGTTACTAATTACTCATCGTGAAAGGACAACTGTTCTCTGCATTCAATTTGAATGGGACAGAGATCTACAAACTTTCTGTGATACATTAAACATAACATTTTTGTGAGATATCTACTACCAAATGGTTGTCTTAACTGAACTTAATAACCCAAATTTGTTTGATAGGTCCAAAAAACTAATGTGATTAAGTCCCTGAAGTGTTACTGCTAACAGAGATGACTGACAGCATTAATAGGTGGCCTGGCTTCCTCTCACAACAAAGAAGGGTAAGAATATAACACCTCTTCTCCACAAAAAGAGCTAGACTCATGTCCACAAAAAGAGCTAGACTACACCAGAAGCCCAGACATTTTTACACACAGGCTAACGCAATGCTGAAATATATGGTCCTCCTTCATTTCTTAATATTTTAGAAGAATTACATACAGGCAAAGGGTGAAGCTACAGGGCTTCCTAGCACCTTGCCTAGTTCCTGTATAGTTCAGTTCCCAGAACCATAACAATTAATAAATTAGAAAACAAAGATATTCTTGGAGTCCAAAAGCAGGAAGTGCTAAATCCCAGCACTCTGTTTGCTATGAATCAATTCCCAATACTATGGGCACATCAATAGTAACCATCACAATAGCCTGCACTCCCCAGTACTCTGCAGAGTGCCAAGCTCTACAGTGGTGAGACCTTCACATGTGTCAGCTCTCCCAAGTTTATGAGTAGATGCTCTTATCACCCCTGTGGAGACAGGGACCAGAAACATAGATAAATTCAGCACTTTGGCCCAAACTATTCAGGCATAATGATAGAGGCAAGATGGAAACCAAGGTAAATAGGTCTCAGAAATAAGCCATAAAATGTGATACAAGACATATTCCATCTGATTTTTTTTAAGATTTTAAAGCTGTCCTCTTTCCAGCAGGAGAAATGCACACAAATTAACTTCAATCTATAAATTGAGCTACTATTATGATCTAAGAGAAAAAGACTAGACATTTTTAAACTGTTCTACATTGTTTGACAAAACTTTCCCTCCATCATTTCTGTCAAGTAAATTCACAAGGTAATTTGTATACTGACATCAGGTACAGCAAATGCCCATAGTGTACACCTACAGAGAAGACATCCAGGAATGTGTTGCACCTACTCTTCTGTGGGTAATCTAGTGTAAAAGTAAGAATTTAGGGTCCTGGCATAAAAATGGCAGCTGCATGGGGTATGTGAAGTAACATCTGACACATTTGATACTTTTTATACTTTACCTTTGATTTCTCCAAGAAGTTCACTCGTATTTAGTCTTTCCATTTTTTCCTTCCAGTCTTTTGAAAGTAGTTTTTCCATGCAGGAGGAATCTATTAAAATACAAAAGTAAGTATTAAAGATGTATATTACAGACCCAGAGAGCTAGATGATGGAGCAACTGGCTCCTTGGGAAACAAACAAAAACTGTTGCTGTTGTTTTAATTTTACCATTTCTCTATCATAAAACACCATGACTGAGTTAAACTATTGCCCCCAGGAAGCTAGTGTTCCGTAACCCACGCTTAGCAGCCTCAGTCTAGGGATATTTAATCAATTTATCAGACTGGTAAGACAGAACAAAGGATCTTTCCTACAGCTTTAAATTTATATGGTATTTCTTTTAGCCCAGGTTATATTTTAAAAGTCTAAGCAAAATTTATATGCTGTACAAGGAACAATGATAAATCTTTAGGGGAGAAGAGGCCAAATACCCTGTAACCACTTAGCCCTTTAAAAAGAAATCCAACTTTTGTAAAACTAAAAAAATAGACAAGTAAATAAAATCAAGATGCTCTTTGTACCCTTCATAGAGAAAACTACCAAAACTTTTATATAAAAATGATAATATGCTTATTAAAGAAAACATCTGTTTAAATAGCATCTGCCCTATTGCATGTTAAAATTATGTTCTCGACTACAGGGAGCAATTACGTCTATCTGTTTTTATAAAGATTCATAGTATTACAGAAATATAAACATGAGAATGCCATAATAATGATCTATTTTTTCTACATTCACTGTTTTCTTCTCTGGATTCAGATGGATTTGCAAGCAGGCCTCCTGCTTATAACTGTCTGCATGTACCTTTTCCAGACTCAACTCTTAACAAATAGGCCATGTTTCCAGGGAATGCAGATTTTAAAACTCCCATTAAACTTTGGCATTCCAAGTGTCAAGTTCTGATAATTTTCTTTTTAAATTATATTCAAAATGGTTTATCCAGTTTCAAATGCTTTTTCTCCCCCAGATCGGCACCTATCTCTTGAGCATTTTCTCTTTCATTCCCCACCCCTCAGGTTCCAAATGGTCCTTGAATTTTTCAGATTGACAGTTAGGTCAAGATGGCTCTAAAGGGCTTTAGAGGCTAGATAAGCTTTGGAAAAGGCAGTGATCCTTGCTTAAGAGATGAGAAGACCTTTGCATGATTAGAAAGCATTGCTGAAAACAATTAACATTTGTTCGTGACAAGATCGATCAATCAGAGAATGGATGGAATCCAGATCCTAGTGTCATGAAAGGGCTGATACTGTCACAGGACCCTGCATCCTTTCTACATAGAAATTCCATTAAGTGAAAGCCATCTGCCTCTTCCCTGACTTCTCTCCATTTCACATTCATAAATGAGGTATGTAGTTTGTTCAGTACCTACATTTTTTCCAATATTAAAACTGATTTTATAGGGCTAAGGAGGCTTCAGATCTTCAAAGGCTTGCCTACCAGACATTTTTGTTTCTCCTATCAGTTTGGGATTTCTGAGCAAGACAGTGATAACATTAGGTAACAGATGTGAAAGATCAGTAAAATGTCTTGAATTTTATACTCTACTAGGATTTGCTATATTTTCACCCTTCCTTGTATGTTCTATCATTGCGCTAAACTGATACCAACCATCACAGATGTAGGAGTCCAAAATATCTGGTTAAGTTAGAGTTGAGATGATATACCCATCAGACAAAATTCAATACATCAAGGATGGCTGCAAAGTCATGTCAAGTCCACACATACACACAAGATATAAAGCATGTCTCTAATTTCTATAAATAGACTCAAAATACCCCCAGAGATCTAAGAAAAGAATGCTGAAGCTCAATAAGAGACAAACATAGCTCTATGGAAAACAAGAATGTATGCTGCCAAATAAACCCAGCCAGATTCACATGGAAGCTACACATTCACAGGCTCCAACATTCTACTAAAACATCCATCCTTGAAAATGCTGAGATCCAGCTATACCAGCTCCTGCTTCAGTAGAAAAAGCAAAGAAAGAAAACAGGTTTTGTATGTCTACATTTATACACAGGAAGATATTTAGTAACAACTATTGATAATGTTTATCCAACGGCACTAACAGTCACTATATGCAACTTTATCATCCTTTGATCTTAATTCTAGAAGCCTTGAAATTAACATGGTCTCTTGACTCCTCATCTGACTGTTACAGTAAAGGAACACATTGGTGCTGTAGAGTAGAGCAAGTGAGATGGATGCGAAAGGCCAGAAGCTGATTATTACCCAGACACACTGTCCTAGTGGAAGTTTCTAATCAGAGATGAGAAAATATGTAAAATGGCCAAAGCTACACACAAAAAGTTGTGTTGTCAAACATCCCAGTCCTGTGGACTGGAGCAATGCACACTCAGTATTCTGGTAGGCATACTGATTAAATATGAGGCTCCTTTCCCATTCAACTACAGCATTCCAGCACATCAACAAAAGGGGTGCTAGTTTTGCAGTGGCAGCTAGTTAGAGCAGACTTTATCTTATTGTGACTTAGCACAACTGCAGAGATCAAAGAGGAAAAACTATATAAATGAGTCCTTTATAGAACAAAACAGTGTCTTCATGCAACAGTCACAGTGATTCAAATGGCCACTGAATACTTTAAAGTTCTATCACAGAAGGAATACATTTTATTTGATTAATTTGAAAACAACTTTCCACTTAAGCAGACAATGACAATAAATTTTATTGTCTAAGTTTGACAGGTCAAACTTCTATGACTAAACTATCTAACGCTACAGAATCAAATGACTCTTCAAGATTGAGAGGGAGGATCATAATACTACATTACACACTGTAGTATCCCTACAATACAGACACATTGAAAACGAAAACGAGCATAACTTACAGAGCTCCAAATTTGTGTAGCATGTCATTGGAGGCTAGACTTCACCCCTCCTACACTGAGAATGTTTAATTTCATCAAGCAATACCTAATCAACAAAACACAAGGTTATTTTGCCTATTACTTTATGAATGATGGGGATTTGATTCTAGCCAGTCTCTATTTGAAGCAATGATGTCATAGACAAGTAGTACTAGGTATATAGTTTGGGTAGGCTTGTTTTGGGGGTGACCAAGCAATGATGTCGTAGACAAGTAGTACTAGGTATATAGTTTGGGTAGGCTTGTTTTGGGGGTGCAAAGATTCTACGACTCTAGACAAGTAGTACTAGGTATATAGTTTGGGTAGGCTTGTTTTGGGGGTGAGGGTGGGGTTTTTGCTTGTTTGTTTACTTATTATTTAACGTTTTATCTTTCAGGAAATTTATTTTAAACTTTTTCTAACAAAAGAATGATACATGTCGGGACTGATTTTATTTAAAACACACTGTATAACAGATCGCCAAACATGGTTCTACTTCTTAGAAACTGAGGCTTTAGGCTAAGTAAAAGATACACTTTATCATGGTGTGCTAATGCACTGGCTTATATAAAATTTTTGGACAAAGAGATCTCAAGGGGGATTATCTCCTAATCTATAGATTGATATTTTAGGAATGGTTTTCAGTTACTCGGTATATATGCATATATATGACTTCAGGAGTTCTAACTATGATAAAAATTTTATCTTCTGTGTCAAAGAGAATAAATAAATCATAATTAAAGCCAAGAAAGAAGACAGAATAATGGGGAATGCTTCAGAATACTTTGAAACAGTTTAAGTAAACATTTATTATTCCTTTCACTTCCATGTGACATTAAAAGTCAGAGGGCTAAAAATGTCACAAACATGACACAAAAAAATCTTTCAAATATTTTAGTCAACAATCAAAAGTTTCAGTCACTATGTATACATTTCTTCTTGCTTTAGTGATATTTAAGACAATAGTAAAGGCATCCCTTTATTTTGCCATCATCAGAAGTTTCAAATGCAATCTCTGTTTCTGCATTCTCAAACACTGATAATTGATCTGAAGTGCTCATGACTTTAGTTTCCAGCCAAACCTGACAATGTACATTTATTCATCCCTCAGTAGCCCCAAGCATTTTCATTAGGGACGTACAGATGCAGTTAACAGCTACTGTACTTTTTTTTTTTTTCACAGTGGCAAGAGCTCCACAATACAGTGGGATAAAATTGGAGCTTGGAGAGCTTGAAGAGCACTCTTAAATTTTAATTAAAACCCTCCAAGCTCACTAAAAATAATTAGACACTAAAATGTGCCAGTTTTATTTTGAAGTCACTATAACATACAAAGCAATGCTCTATGGTGACTGTCCACATACACACACACACACACACACACACACACACACACACACACACACACACAATGAAACAACTGACTTTCCAAATAAGAACAAGGGGTATAAATAGAGTCTGTTTTCAAGCAAGCTCTTCATGCTGGGAGCTGACAGAAAAGCCCACAGAGTGTGTTTTTCATACTGAACCAAACAAACCTAGAAATAACTTCCCTAGTCCAGTGTGCAGATCGCCAACCAACTCCACAGAAAATCCAGTGTGAAAAGGGCAGTGCACACTGTATCACTGAGATTTTCTGATCCAAGAGCCAAACCTTTAACCTCGTAAATGTTTCTGCTATCTTAAAATATCTCATACAATGCTATACCCCATCCTATTTTTAGGCAAGTAGCAAGAGAAAGCATGCCTTTCCCATACAGCAGGGCAGTGGTCTAAACATCAACACAGATGCTCTGCCAGGAAGGACTGGACTTCTCAAGCACTTGATCATTAAGGAATGCACCAACTGTTTGGGATAATCTCGTGCCAGCCCCCTTGTGCTCCACACTCCCTTATGGGAGTGGCCAATCTTGTTCTACTCCTAACTCTTCACTTTCCTCCTCCACAGCATACCCTCCATCCAAAAAGATGAGAAGTAAGGCATTTATGCCTAGCAATGAGAAAGCAGGCTCACTTCCCCAAACAGACCAAAACTTTGAAACAATTAACCCTCCCCTCTTCTTTCAGATAAATTGCTAAGTATAAAATGCAATCTGTTCCCTTTGTTTACTCAATAAGAACAATTTGTAAATGACTCAAGGATAAAATTCAGAAAATGTTGTGCTAAATTAGAACCATTATAAA